AAGCACGGACTTAATCAGTCCTTCAAAAGTGTGAACTCTATTTACAATGACAGCTCTGAACTCCGACTAACTGACACCGTAATTGGAGTGAAGGCTAAATAGTTTCTTACTGAATATCCAAAGGCCAGTTGTACTTCACTAGCTGTGAATGTTTCCGACCTTCATTGGGATCGGGTAAATGCTGAATGGATTTCCCTTGTGCATTTCTGAGTGATTGATCTAGTGTGAAAAGTAAGGAGACTCCGATTTGTCGTTTTACGGCATGATGAACGAAGGTATCCCCAGCACATTCCAGTCCCCTCGAGATTTCCTATTTTTCAAAATGAATATGGATATGTTTAAATCACCCAACTAAATTTCTCTATTTTCTGAACAAGGGAAATTAGAAAGTGGGACTTTCTAAAAGAAAGAGTACAACTAAATAAAACATGAATGAATCACTTCTAGTTTAANCTAATTAGCCAAAAAACCAATATGAAGTATGAAAGGAATAACGAGGTCGTGGAGATGATCAAATAGTAAAAGCCGCCAACTCAGGTCCCGGAGGACCTGAGTTTGAAATCTACCACTAACGCTGGACTTTCTCCATTCTGTTTATTGTAGGGCAGTCCTTAGATTGGCTGCTTCTTCTTTTCTGAATATTGCATTATTATAAATTCAATAAAACGAAATAAAATTAAAAGATAAGGTAAAAGATAAGGAGTTTGAGTGGTAAATTGTTTTACAAAACCGAACTAGTACTGCTACATAGTGGGCATACGAGACCCGACATTGGTGAATCGTTCGACAATTATATTTTGGAGCAATCAGCTATAGCGTGGAATCGATTGATGCAAAGAATCGGGTTAACAGAAGATCTGCTTTCGAAATGGTGTACGCCACACAACTTAGTGAGATGCACACTAGAACGGTTATATTTTCGTTATTAAAAAACCCCGGTTGGGGAAGGAAGAAGAGTTTTTTGAAAATAATTATTTTTGTTTCCAATTTCCAAACTGCTACTTTGTCACGCAAACAACCACGATATGATTATAATTTTCCGGAGATCCAATGATATCATTCTTGACAGGAATCGTGGAATATCATATGAGGATACGATGATAGACGGGTGTAAGGGGAGAAACTCAAGAGCGTCTATGTATCGCTAATCCGAGTCTGATGTGCGGAAGTTAAGCCTGGTTACTACTAGTTTCACATCGACTGCCAGATTGTAATTAAACATGCTCGCCTCCAAAACTGAAACGACGAAAACCAAGTTAGTTTATCTGCATGGTGGAGACAATATTCATCCAGAGATTCTCACTCCCTAACCTGCTATTCAAGCCAAATCTATCCTGTTCAAATCAGTGAATGTTCGACTCTGTTGAGCTTTCATAATCGGAGAAACACGATGCAACTTTACCTATTTACAAAGTTAGTAGTCGTGGTGATCTCATCAACTACCCCCCCCCCCCCCTTGTGTTCTAGTAAAAGCTCATAATTGCACGAGAGGAGTGGCTTATACAATTAATTTCACACATATTCTTGGGCTATATTCTTGGATCTAAACGCAGATGGATCCTTCCAGCGTAATTTGGAACTAGTAGAAACAGCGCTGTTCCCAATGTTTTTAGCAGTAAACATATATTCAACGGCACCTTCAGTACACTAACCATAGGCCGAACCGCGGTTTCTATAGTCGATTCGTTCAATTGCCGGTTTGATAAAATATTGCATTATATTTTGTTTCAACACTCATAAATAAACACATATTAGTATACTTAATCATACCAACATACTCATTATTCAAATTATCTGTGGTACGTGTTAAGTATATGATGAGTTTACCCATAGACTAAGCTTTAATTTTGACAAGCGTAATTTGAACCTGATGCTTGACCGGGGCTTACCGACGTCTGACAGACCCAGTGTCCCAATAGGATATCGATATGACATAAAAGTACATAGGCAATAGACTAGTGTAGATGAAAGACTCAAAACAATTTAACTTTTCGGATTGAAACAGGATCCGTCTCACGGATCTACCCAATGATCGCAACTACCATTTTCGGTCGAAATACCAGCGTTGAATGCGGAACTCAAAAACTGTCAGTTGGGAAAGGAGAGCTCGACTTTGCGTTCGCTCTCCAAACCTCTATTGTTGATCTGTTTTTCGTTGTGTGTGTGTGTGTGCATACCAGTGACAGAGTCTATCTGCTATCACAAACTTCTTTCAGTCACACTTTGGTGTCAAGCAAACACAAAGTGGAGCGTGCGAGCAACATGTTTGACAGTGGAACAAGTGACAACTTAGGTGAATTTGACCGAACTTTCAAAATCGGTCGCGGGGGGGGGGACACAGAATCAAATGGTCAGGGCATCGAAGGTTACTTTTTGTGACACCACTGTTTCAGTAATTTCCGCATCGGTGTTATTGGGGGAATGAAGCTAGTGAGAAATAGCCAGCATATGAATCTGCCCTCAACACCATTTATTAAACGACAAATCGAACTGAGGGCAATCCCGAGGAGAACGAGTTAGACATTTGTGTATGATTGACCGGACAATAAGACTAACTGTAAATTAGTCCATTCGGTCGCGCGACCTAGTCGCACGGAATGTCTGCTATCTTGCAGGTCGGATGCAAATGGTCGTGTGGTATTCGAGGGCACAACCTGACTGAATGCCTCAAACTATGTCTGTTATCCGTAATGAATGAAACCTATCACACAATGACACTGACGATCATACGTATAATTATGGAAGTCTGTTAAAAAATCATTCACATCGGTAGATTATGTCTAGTGAATTCTACCACTTCCATTGTGGGCATTGGGGATGCACACGGGAACGGCATAGATGTCGTTACGCAATCACACACACACGGATCACGTCGGATGGGAAACAACTGACCATCAACAACTATCACAAGTAGGGGTAAAAAAAAACATTTCGAAAATCACACAGCACTGCACAGCGGCTGAATTCCAGACCGAAGGGGGCAAATCACGATGAGTAATCAACGAAATTGGTCTCGTAGCTCAGAGCGTGTGATGTACATGGACGAAGGCGGTGTCCATACGTGAGCCCCAGTCCCACCGAACGAAACTAATCAAGTTTTCTCAATCCAAACATAAGCGTTCAGTCTGCAAAATAACATAATCTGAACAAGAACTACGTGAGTTTTCCGCCCCAAATCCGTTTGTGAGGAGACCTGGTTGAAATTCTGTCCATCTATCTGATCTGTTAATGACAGTGAAGTTCGAAAGTGGATGACCGTGGTGTCTGTTCTAAGCGCTACGCTAGCTGCCATCGCGGTGTAGGATTCTCTCAGAAGCGACATCTTGAATGTTAAGGATAGGGGCACATTTACTCATTAGCGGCTTATAATTTAGGTGAAGTACACTTTTTACTCACACTGAAGTGAGAGTTTCGCCAGGGTGCTATTTGAATAGAGCATCGCCATTTTTGCATGATAAAACAATAACGACAGGAAGGAAACGACATGTAAAACAAAACAAATAAAACAGTCAACACAAAATATCCGCTTCATGAGCGCTGGAGTTTGCCACTAATGGCCTCTGGCTAACAAAAGTATTTAGCAAATTAGGGGGTAAGGAGAAGTTCAAGCATAGAATAGCGTGCAACGAGTTTACCTAAAGAGAGAGAGTGAATAGAAAAGGGCTAATTAGGTGAGCGTCGTCGGTCGATGTCTTAAAAGAATACTTTTTTCCTACAACAAAGTCCAACTACATCAACCTACAAAGCCCGCTTGCAAGTAAAATGAAAATCTTATTCACTGACGCAAACTGCGGTATGATATGATACATGAGTGCAATAAGAAACGCGAAATGTGCATAGGGTGAACTTGGAAAATCCGTAATTTTGACGCATAAACCCGAACCTTAGTCGTTATGTTCATGGACTGATTATCTTTTGTGTGGATTACCCTTTGCAACTTCGAATTCTTAGAGAATTCAACGCCAAACAAAAGCTAACTTTACTTCTCTCCTTTGCCATGCTCAACCTTTACATGGTGATCTATCCAACCGCGTTCTCATTCATCAACGCGTTGTACCTATCGTTTATTACCCGCCGGTATTATTCTAAACAAACATTCTATAGTTCCCTATCTTACCAGAATCCTTGCAAACCAGCAACGGGTTTCAGCTGAATTTCTCAGCAACTTTGGGGTGTAAATGTTTTACTCCAGTTGTTTTCTTCTTTCGATGAGATGATTTGTAATTGCCGATACCTGACCATGCAAAAATATGTCTATAAGAATAAAGATGGGCCAGGTAAGTTCGTGGGTTAGTGTTACATCAAGGAACATTCCCAAATGATTTACAAGATAATCTTATATTGTGTGTCGTTGTATCGTTCTTCACAATCATTACAGAAAAACAGTGTACGCCAAGTCGAAAGTAGGAAATTGAAAGAAGTCTTTCTCTACGCATTAGTACCCAATGATTGAACTGCATGTTGCGAGTAGAATACATACATTCACGTCCAATCTCTATGTAGTCCCATGGATACGGCTGTTCCTCAAATTCGAATTTAGTGGAAAATCGAAACACTGTTGTAAAGTTTCAAACATTACTTCTTCAGTGCTTTTAAATAGCTCCAGACAAATTGAAAGAACAATTCATTTATTTACGTAATCAGAGAGGAAAACAAAGTTCCGAAAAATGATATCCAACTGGTAAAAAAACGGTCGAAACACGCGTGCCCCAATTTTGAGTCATTCGTGCTGCTTTCAAGCATCCACGAACGCACGCACACACACACACACACAGATCTATACACGTATTTATAGTTCTATAATCCAATCAATGTACAGTTTATCTAACGGCAGGCACGTGATTGTCCTGATATTCGGACACTGTGATCGTACCAAATGAATTGTTTGAGCGATATGTTGCAGTACGCGGATATTTGAATGCATTAATTATAGAATACTCTAATGATTTCATGCTGAGCAATGATATGATCGAGCACGCAAATGATTGACCCCTGGTTCTTGATTAATTGACCTCGAAAGGGAAAAAAGGCTGTCCCAAAATGTACCAATTCTGATGACAGTTTCCGGTCAAACTGTTCCCGGATCAACTGATCTTATCCACCCGGAATACGAACAGCAATTGAATCAGGGAGAATGGACTAATCCAATTAGACGTTCATTGGTAAGTACCGAGCATTCAGCGCTCCGCGAAGAAGCTGCGCTCACCTACCATCAGTGAGCGCTTGTGTTCACCGGCCGATTAGTACAAGAACTTCCCAATGCGGCTTAAGGGGACACACTCACTGGAATCCTGTCCGTACCCGATCATCACACCTTGTTGCCCCACCCGATCCACTCGTCAGTTAACTGTGCTTCTTCTTCTCTGATGGGCACAGCAGTTCAACCCTGATGCAGGTCACTGCTTTCGTGCGCGCCCGCACACCCGCTGCGGCTAG